CCCGTCCCCCCATCCCTCCTTCCCTCCTTCCCTCCATCCCTCCATCTCCCCTTCCCTCCAAGCTGAGTGAATGCTGAATACCTTTGTAAACACTCTCCAGTAAAAGTGGTGGTGTCACTTTCCATACAGGATAACAGGATTTCCATCTGGTCTGTTGGTGATCTTGGCAATGTGGGCCTCAATGGAGAATACCAAGGAGAGCCTCAGTTGTTATGCGACATCAGGCACAATGGGGATGTCATGGACATGCAGGTAAAATCATTGTGGTTAGTAGATATCTGTTTTTACCTGTTTTTACAGGTTTGTCTTCAACAAGAACATAAGTGATAGCAAACCAGAAAAATACAGACTTTTGAAAAAATAAAGAAAGAGAAAAGTAATCCATAGAAGTTCGTACTTTTTCCTGTGTCTGGCAATACTTTAGGTTACTCTAAACTCAAAATTATCATCTTGGTATTCATGTCAACTCATAAAGACATTTCTCATCTCTCTTTAGTTTTTGGACCAAGAGAGAATTGTAGTTGCTTCGTCAACAGGAGATGTTACTATATTCCGTCATCACCAAAATAATCAGGTAAGTCATTGGACTGGCTTTAGATCGTTCTGTGCAGCGTAGGTCACTTTGATCTTAGGATAAGATTGTCAAAACTACTACAGTAAGAAACGTGTCTACCAAAATCAAGTGTGTTTTTTTGTTGTTTGTTTTTGTTTTTTTTTTAAGTGTGTCAGGAAGAGCTTCAGTTGTATACGTGTAAGGAAGGAGAATAAGTATTGTATGCACCTACCAAGTCAGATGAATAGACTGACAGGCTGGGTATGTGCATATCTATGACCAAACAATCCATTCACTGAAAAGATAATTCAAGATTATTTTAGATAGATTCAGTTGGATTATGAAAGAATAATTTGAGGGTGAAGGGAAAAGGACCATTAATGTACCCGTGCCTGCTCTATTAGTTTTATCCATTCTTGACCTAGAAAAGCTAGTAATTGAACTCTTTAGTTTTATTATTTCATTCAGATTATACGTTGCTGAAACTAAATGTATAATAACTTTAGTATATCCACACTGACACAACAAAGAGTAATATCTCTTAATAGTTTGACTTCGTACCTAAGATAAACTAGTTTTCTTGCAATCAGAATGTAAATCCGACTTCTGCTTTTTTTTTTAGGGTCTTTTCCCTTGGGGAAAAAATTAAGAGTGTTAAGTCTTGTGAAAAGCACAATCACAGTTCAGGAACAGATAGTTTGAGTTTTCTGTGTAGGTTTGTTTGTTTGTTTGTTTGTTTTTTTGTTCTATTTTAAATTTGTGTGGAAAAAGATCTTTCAAAGAAGGCCACATAAACAGAAACATCTGCTTCATTAAAGTGTGGAGGTGTGAAGTTTCAAGTGTAGAGGGAAGCTGCAGAGCTACAGATCACTGATTCGTAGGTAGAAGATTCTCATCCCTCTAGGGCAGTATATCTTTACTAGAACCAGCTGCTGGTTTTGTGAGTGTTCTGGATGCTTTACTCTTATCAGAATCAGTATTTACCATGGGAATTTCCTGTCTGTTTGCTACTTAGACTTTATCTGCCAACCAGCGGTGGGAGAAAGCTCATTATCATGTGGATCGACAGGCGTCCTGTGGTGGGGCAGCGTGTACTGGAGTAATCTGCAATAACCCCGAAATTGTCACTGTTGGAGAAGATGGTAGAATAAATTTCTTCAGAGCTGACCAAAAGGGTGCAATGAGAACTATAGGTATGCCAAGAAGTGCTTAAGATAGTTGCTGTTCATGCATGTGTGTTTGTGTTTTTTTTCCCAATTTTGTTTTTTTTTTCATTTTTTAAAAATCTGTTGAGAATTGAATTAAATAATTCAAGCTCAGTATTTCTGCTTGAAAGCTTGGTGTTATCAAGCTGGAACTTTCTCCCTGGAGCTCCAGTTTGCCACAGCTCTTGTGTTTCTCCTCAGGCAAAATCTTGCCTCTAGCAGATGAAGGAATTTTACAGTGATAATCCAATTAAGGGGGAAAGTGCTTTGGGATTTCTAGAGAGGGTTACTTATTTGTGGGAGCATGTCTGTATATGTACAAGTTAAATCCTATTAATTACATCCGTCTCTCCCAGGCACAAGGCAGAAGATTTTTATTAGCAAGTACCCACAGTACAGAGTAGCTTTTCTCTTTTAGGTGAATGAGGGAAGGGACTAGCTTAATTATCTTACTGCCTGTATATAAGTAAAAAATTACAACAAGAATAATCTTTCTTTTTTTTTTTTTAAATGCAGTGTTCTAATGCAAGTTTAGTAGTGTTTTTGACCCAAAGAACCATGTGTCCACAAAAAAAAACTGTTGTATTGTGTTTTTCTTCCAGGCAATTACTTAGATTACATTCAGATTTAATAACGTGTAGGCTTCAAGTTGTTTTCTTAGTGGAGTCCTTAGTACAGACTCCTAATACAGTGGATCTTAACATTCCTCAGAAGCTGAGCTTGCTGCATGTTTTCATAGAACTCTTCTAGCTATTCATAAATTAATACTTTTTGATTAACAGATTCAAAAATATAATAGAAAATTGATATGTCTGTAAAAATCCTAGCAGAAAAATCCCTGAAATTAGAGGATATAAAAATATTCCAGAAATATAAATATACTGCCTTGCCAAACTCCGTACTATTACTCTGCCATGCAACACTTAAAATCCATTAGAACTTCAGCAGTCAATAATGTCCCCTCTCTTCTTAAAGATAATTTCCCCCTGTAGCCCTGACCAATTCCAGCTTTAATTTAGAAAGTAGGCAGAAAATAAAACTCCTTTAAATGTGTGCAGTGGGGAAGCAGTATAACTTGTCTGTCTCATGATAAGCTTGCCTCCTGTGCAGCAAAAAAAAAAAAGCATTATTAGTATAACTTGAAAAAAGAAATTAAAAATACCTGAGGTGAAAGTAGGCTTAATGATGTGACCCAGCCATTACTAAGATGAAAGGTATATGAATAATAAGAAAATGAAGTTGTAAGAATATGATATTCATGTCATTCTGTCCTAAATTCTCACAGAATCACCAACTGCTTAAGATTGAAAGGGACCTCTACAGGTCATCCAGTCCAACCCCCCTGCTCCAGCAGAGACACCCAGAGCACGGGGCACAGGGTGGCATCCAGGCGGGTTTTGAAGATCTCCAGAGAAGGAGACTCCACAACCTCTCTGGGCAGCCTGTTCCAGGGCTCTGTCACCCTCACAGTAAAGTAGTTCTTCCTCATTTGCCTCAATGCAGAGTGTGTAAAGATTGCATGTTATGGAAGTTATTGAGTTTAAATGATTCCTGATCCCAAGAAGAAGAAATCTTATAGAAGAGCAAGTAAATTTGTAAGTCCTGGAGCTAATTCAGTATAGATTCTTACAGATTTGTTTCTCGGGAGGGTATGCCACAGAAAGTGAGGACTCCTTTTTTACCAGGGCACACGTGCAACACCTGAAAGTACCAGGTGACAGTGGACTGCCTCTGCCATGGAAAGGCAGAGGTTATAACAATGTTGTAGTAGTTGTGCTCTGTTTGAGAAGACACTGTTTTAGAAGACAATTAGAAGGAGCCTAGCATTGATTATGTTTACCTGAATTGCTATTTCAGTGGTTCCCTGATCTCTCTTGCAGACAATGCAGACAGCAGCACACTCCATGCAGTGACTTTTCTTCGTACAACTGAGATATTGACAGTAAACTCAATTGGACAGTTGAAAATATGGGACCTCAGACAGCAAAGAAATGAGCCATCTCAGATACTTTCTTTGTAAGCCCTTTATGTTTTTTGAAAGGCTTTTAACTTCCTTTTTGACTTCCTTTCCCTGATTAAATGTCCTTTCTGTTCCTCCTCCCCCAACTTGGTACAAACTTTGACTTTCAAAATGTTTTTGAGACACAAACGGAGGAACTTAAAGCTATATTTAAATCCTTTTACCAGTGAACTGATTCCCAATGAAAAGATTCTGTGGGTTATTGCAGAGATTTGGAAGTGACAGGTCTTCCTTTGTTACTTTTAGTATCTGTTGAAACAGAAATTGTAGCGTTTGATTCGGTGTAGCATTCTTATTGCTGTAGGTACACTTAGAGTTGTATTTAGATGTGAAGCTCCCTCATTCCTGTAGAGCTGCCAGGTAACATGTTAGTGCCTGCATACCATAGGGCACAGAGCCTGATGCCTCTCTAGTTGCAGCTTCATGTTACTGCTGTACCTCGAGTTTCCAGGAGGCATCACATGGTTCCAGTCTTCAGTGACCAGATAATACAGGAACTTAACTGGCAGTTAGTATGGTTGTTGGTCAAATTTCTAGGAATTAAGAAGATACGTGTTGAACTGAGAATTAACATTGTTCCTTCTTTCCCCACTGCAGGACAGGTGACAGAGTTCCACTGCACTGTGTGGACAGGCATCCCAATCAGCAGCACATTGTGGCCACAGGAGGCCAGGATGGCATGCTGAGTATATGGGACATCAGGCAGGGTACTATGCCAGTGTCCCTGCTAAATGCTCATGAAGCAGAAAGTAAGTATCTGGATCTTTCCTTCAGAAATGTGCTGAGCAATTTTTAAATGTTGTAGGAACGGCAGGATTGTTTTCTGTTACAGCTATGTAATATGTCTTCAGCCAGTTGTGGTTTTTTGTTGTTGTTGTTTTTGCGTTGTCTATGTAGGAGACTTGTCTAAAAGACAGTCTAAAAGACAGTTCTCAAAACTTGAATGAGTGAGCAGTTTAAGTCTTTAATGAGTCATCAGATGCATTTAATCAGAATGAGTTTGTTTCTAGAACATAGGTATATGCATAGTCTCAGCTCATAATCATTCATGCTCTACTATTCTGGCATAGTAAAGAAGGAATGCAGTTCCTGACAAGCTTGAAAAAGGGAAGTTGAGAAAGGAAGGGACTTGAAAATATTGCACTTCTGTTTGGTACCTCAACAATGCTGAAACAGTTCACTTTTCTGGTAATGTTATGTAAGCAAGAAGATAGCAACTCATTCCATGCTGGCAATTTATTGATTCAATAGCAGGACTGTACTTAGCGAGTAAATTGTGGCTTGAGATAAGAAGTCCGATTTAACTATTTTGACAGTTGTGGTATTTCAAAACAAAATAACTCTTTATTCTGGGAAAATGCTTGCTGTGTGGAGATTTAAATTTAATAGTAGGGAAGGCAGTATGAGAAAGCTATTTAGAATATCTGAATTCAGACAAGATTTTAACTTTGAGCAATTTTCACAGTATTGAAAGTGCAGCAGAATGAATGATCTGTGTTTTCAGGGGAGGGAAAGCTGCGGTGAATTGCAGATGGTAGTTTGTCTCTCACCCTTCCAAGAATGCAAAGTTTTGGTGAGATCTGGAGTCTTGTATGATAGTGACTTACCAGTCAAAGTGCATAGAGCTAAATATGTGAAGTTTGTGAAAAGGTTTTCCTCATCTCCAGAGCCTGAGATCTAGATTGTGTACACTAATTCAAAAAAGTATGGATAAGCTGTTTTGGTTTCCACCAGAAAGCAGTATTCTTTATCTGAAGTGCTTTTCTCTCACTGGAGCTGCTCAGTATTACCATGCTTTCCATAGCATCGCTGTAGAAGGTACTGGCTGTACAACTACTTTCTGCATATGGCCATTTTTTTGTAGTAGTATGGTCATGTTATTTTACTGTTGTATATATTATATGATTCCTTTTATTTGTGCATGAGCTGTTTTATTTCCGTACATTGCAATACGAGGACGTCAGTGGCCTTTGTGAGGCACTTGCACTTGTCTGTCTGGTTCAGAAGTACAGTATTTGCAGTGCCAGTGATGGCCATGTATTTTGACAACTGTCCATTCTAGTTTATTAACCATAGTATAGAATCATAGAATGCTTAAGGTTGGAAGGGACTTCTAGAGATCATCTAGTCCAACCCCTCTGCACACACAGGGTCACCTACAGCACGTGTAAGTAGTTTGTACTTAATAAGTTATCTTTATGTCGGCATAAATATTCACTACTTTTAAGACCGAAGTAGGCTCATAGAACTTTATAGTAACTAAGCATATTCTGCTCTTGAATTGATTAACTTGTGTAATGGCGATATCAAACCACTTTTACCATGAGGAACATGGCTTGCTCTCCAGTAAGTGTTCCATTTTTTTTTTCTTGTTATTTCTAGTGTGGGAAGTTCACTTCCATCCTTCTGACCCAGATCACTTATTTACATGTTCTGAAGATGGATCTCTTTGGCACTGGGATACTTCCACAAATGTATCTGAAAAACCTTCTTTTCTTCATCAAGGTATTCTTTTTTTATAAGTTGGCTTGCATTGAATTTGTCACCTGGCACCTTAGCTAAAGCACTTGATTTCATATGCTCCAGTTGCTAACACAATATAGAAAATACATATCCAGCTTCTTTTCTTAGATATGGGTAGGCACTTTAGGAAAATGAAGTACTTGCATAAAAACGTTGTCTATCCTCAGTGTGTTTAGCCTGGAGTATGAAGAGGCACTTAAAAAAATTACAGGATAAATTGAGTTCTCTTAAATCACATCCACATAGACCAGAGATAAGAGGCCTAAGTGACACATTGTTACCTGGATCTAAGGGAGATCTAAACTATATGTGTTAGAAAAATTTTGTATAATGGAATAATAGAATTACGAATTTACTCTTTAGAAATTTTTTTCAAGGCATGAGTGGAAGACTCAGTGAGTGAAATGCTATCCCTTTATCATGCTAGGATTTTAAAGACACGAAACTGATATTAAAAAACGATTTTTGCATTCTAATCTTGGACTGCCTAATTGCTTTCAACTTCACAGAACAGTCAGTGGGGAAACTTTTAAATGTCTTTTGCCTTTGGCCTCAAAGCTGTCCCTCAAAGTTGAGTTCTGTACAAGGGAATAATAGTATAACTGATAATCAAATTGCACTCTGCATATTCTTTTTCTTTAAAAATAACTCCTTAAGAGCACTACTTCAGACAATGGTAAACTTTATCCTGAGTGATAGCTGTCAAACTGCAAAACTTTCATTTGATTTTTTTGTTGTCATTTTGTTTTTGTGTGGAAAGAAAAACTTGAAGACAAATCCAGTATGTCACTTTCTCCAGATTAAGTAGGGAGAAGGTACAGAAGGGTGTAAATATTAAAACAAAGCTGATGCCTCAAATATAGCAAGACCACTGCGTGAAGCAAGCTCATAAATCCATACTTGCTTCAGTCTTCCATTAGAAAAACTTGTAGTTACTCATAGCATTTGTTCAATAAGGCGAATTCTTAGTTGTGCTGGCATATATGTTCCCTTAACTAAGGGGAGAGGTGGGAAGCAGGCTTCTGTAAAAGTTTGAAGTACTGGATTTTTAGCTATCTTTTGTTTTTACCGGGAATGTACTATATCTATTAACGAATATGAAAAATTGTTTAAATTTAAAATACTCTTCCTATTGTATCTGTCCTGTACTTGCTATGTTTCTCTAAATCCTGAGACTATTTTAAATAATTTTGAACTAATTCCCTTTTTGTCTTTCCTGTCCTCTCTTTTAGGAGGAAGAAGTAGTACATATTTTTCCCACAATACCATTAACCAGTCTGTAGTAAGTGCCTGGCTAAGCAACGACCCTACCAAAGACCGCATGGAGATTACCAACTTAATTCCAAATCAGACTTTGTCTGTGAACAGTTTAGATGTTTTAGGACCATGTCTAGTATATGGTACTGATGCAGAGGCTATTTATGTTAACAGACACCTTTTTGCATGATACTTCTCCAGGGTCCCTTTGAAACACTTTGAAGGACTGGGAAATGCATCAGGTTCATCAGTGTTTCCAACTAAACTGTTATCAGCACATGGGAAGAGGCCACTTGGCTCTGCTATTGCAACAGGAATGCAAGTTACCTCAGACTCTTTAAGTTGTCCCTTATTATTGATGCTCTACTAGGGGTAATCAAACCAACTTTTGTGTAAGTTTGATCTCGTTTCTTCCCCCCTGCCTGTCTGGCTTTGGAAAGCAGGAAGCTAGTCATAAGGCAGGTTCTTAGCTGATGTCCAAAACACACAAGGTGAAGAAAAAGTAAGCCCGTGATTATTCATGTATATGTAGAGATACTTCCATGTATTAAGGCCAAATTAAAAGGTTATTTGATATTTGTTTTTATGTTACTTGAGAGATGGCTTTTATTTGGGATTTTATATATATATTTTGGAAACAAAGCTTTTTATGGAGGTGCATGAGAATTGGAAAGGAAAGCTAAAAGCTGTGAAACATACAAGGTTCTATAGGAATCTTAACATTTTAGTAGCATTACTGTGGATTACTGCAACTTCATCATGGATGCAACATGTTAGAACTTGATCTTTATAATGTGCCTCTAACTCACTGGAAAAGTTTTTAGAGCTCAGTGCTCCTAACTGATAGACACATTGGCTGTGTTTTAAAAGACTTGATCGGAGACTTTTTCAGTGTTGGACATAGTCTTTATCACAATCAGTTTTGCATCTAGTCTGTTTTGCAATGTTTAAAAAGTTAATTTTATGATTACTGCCCTACTTACCTTTTGTTGCAGAGAACCCTCTTTTTAATAAAAATATTTTGTACAAGATATTTGTCTGACTGGCTTAGTTTAATGTGTGCATTTAGTTACTGTTGCAGGAGGATGAATAAATGTAACAGCTATTGGGATAGGGTCTGGGAATGCGAGCTGGCACTCTGGGGGAACAGCAGGCAAATCTTGAGGTTTGGGGAACAGCAGGTGGAGTTACAAGGCTGTACAATCACTTGTCAGCCAAACAGCTTTAGAGTGTGTTCTTTCAAGATATCTCTTTGCAAAAAGTAACTTATCTGAATGGAGTTTCTTATGTGTCTAGCTGAAGAGCAGTGGCCATACATTAGAGATACGTGTTTTCAGAACAGAATGCGAGTTGCCAATAGTCTTACTAGTGTTAAAGTTTGCTTCCTAGTTGTTTGAAATAAACATGTTGTTTGAGCAGGAAAAGTTTAAAGCGATAGATTATACACCTTGCTGTTATTCCTTCTTTCCTGGTAACCTATAGACCTCATTCTGCGAGAAGCCTTTCGATGGAGCCCAAGGGAGATGTGTTCCTCTGGAAAAGGGGGCTGTGCCATGGGCTGGGGCGAGCAGCGCCTGCAGCCCACAGTGCCACGCAGGCTGAGCTGCAGTGATTGCGCGGCGCTGGCTCTCCCCGGTGCAGCGGCGCCGGCCGCCTCGCTCTTAGCGGGGCTCAGCTTTTGCGGCATTAAAAGGCAAAAAGAGAAGCGGTGCCGGGGGCTCTGTGCGGGCGCCGTTACGAGGCGGCGGGGGAGGGGCAGCGGCCGTTCCCATCCGTTGGGGGCGGGGGGCGCC